ACTGTATCTAGCAAGATTACATTTATGTACGTACATACATGTACCGATTCCGGGGGGAAATCGATTTTTACATCTCCCACTTAAATAAGTAAGTAGGAAAACAGACAAACATAGAAAAACAATTTCCCCCAAGTTTTCTCGATTCTTCTCAATCCGATTTCATCCTACTTGCCCACTTCACTGAAGGGTAAAATGTGGTACAAGAAAGCGTACAGTTCTTAATCTTTCGCAATCAATAAGAGCATAGAAAAAACGCAAAAAATCCGGAGAGGAAAAATACTTTTACTTTACAATATCTGGAGTGAATGACCAATGATCAGCAGAGATGGATTCCAAGTGAAACAAAGAATCATTGAATCAGATAAATATATTGAGCCGACTGGACAAAGTATTCCCACTTTCTATCAGTTTATTGTGTTACGTACTAAACTATCTGTGCTATCGAGTGACCAAGGATGAGTCCGACCATGACCAAACTCTTTTTTTCTTCTCCTCCTCCAAACTAGGTCCCTCCAGTCCTATCGAATCTGTCTGCATTGTGTGTTTGTATTCTTGTTTTGTTTTATCCGATTGGATAGTGCTTCAAAGTGCCGGTGTTGATGTTGCTCGAGTGCCCGAGTAATTGAAGTCCGATGTTCTTTCTTTCCTGAGACAATCCTTCCATTCCTCCACTTGTCAAATCAAACTCAGCCGTGCCATTCCATCCATGTAGGTACGTGGACGACAGTGGCCGCGGAAGGGTTGGGACATCTGGGGACATTAACATTGTAGGATGGGAGGAGGGAGGGGTTTATACAACGTGGGCAGATGATGGGACATCGAATAACCGTGGGGACATTGTCTCTCTGTCCGCGGCCACTGCTTGACGAGATACATTCCTTTCATCTTCTAACTTTTCTTCGTATCCAACACTTATTCAACAACACTATTCGAGATTTAACCCTAATCCAATCTAATCGAATCCACGAGTGAGAGAGGTGAGAAGATGTCGACGGGGAATGTTCCTCTCTTTTCTCTCCTTTGTCTTTTATTTTTCAAGATAAGATGTCGAGATTTGGGGAGGATGCATTGTTTTTCTCAAAGTATTTTAATGCTTTCGTGACAATACGTACGTACAATTTGATGTATAACGATATCAATATCTTGTACGAAGTTTGGCTTTAAATTTCATATATTACCGATAATTTATATTGGCGTAGCTGCTTTGCAATTTAAATAAACTACATAAGCCAGGAAAATTTTAACTACTACGAGTAAAGTGCTATAAAATTAATTGCTACAAACCCACCCAACTACTAATCCTGGATGCTAATTCGAGTCGAAATCTCTTCAATTGAAAGCGTTTTAATTACAAAATTAAATACCAATCCAATAAATATGTACAAAGTACAAAATCGTGTACATACATTTTTTTTTATCCTGGGCAGGCTCCACGTAGATATTTAAATACCTACGTTCGAGACAACATAAATACATTTGTTTACCTTACTTCTAATGAGTTTTCCTCTTTCTCTTCTCGATAATACGACTTACTCGCATACACAACAACAAAACAATACTTATCCTGATATACGCAACCATTTAAGTCAGATTAGCATTACAATTTGACAATTCAGTGAACAAAAGCTGAAATTCAATTTCATTCAAGTAATTTTATGTAATGGATTTTCTGCGATGGAAGAGAGGAAAGTCTTTCAATTTAACGTTTATTTATTTACGTTCCACACCACCAAAGTCAGTTTGCTTATCATACTAACGTATATAGTAAACAGTATTCTCCATTATGGCGTGGTTTTGTACTTGATGATGATGACGATGCCCAACAGATTCGTATGCATGCATTTTACTTACATAGTCAATCCGACCAGACCATTAGCCATAAAGCACTGACATAAACTGAAATGAATTAAGAGTCCATCATAAAGAAGCATGGAATAATTAAACTCTTTGCTTACACCACCAGCACCTCAAGACGAACAAACACAAGAAAATAAGAGGGTGATACGTATGGCCCCACTATTTATGTCCACTTGGCATCACTAGTAGTACCACTACCAAAACCATTACTACTGTTTTTGAGCCTTTACTGTTTGTTTTATGGCTTTACCTCCATTAGCTTATGCTGCCGAGGTTGAGTGAATGAACGCTAATTGAAAAGTGAATAATAATAAGCGAGGAGTATAAATATGCTCCCGTGTCCTTTGCTCGCAGACAATAAAACTGCAACGGGAGGGAGTCAACGGGACGTTTATATTGAATTATTGAATTCCTCCCTCACAAACTTGATAACTTTTATTTCACCTCTGAAAATGACAATTGTTTTGAGAGAGATCAATAATCTAGTCAAATGCAGGCAGACCTGAATATGAGTCACTTTTTGTTTTTTGAACAAATTTGCACAATCAGCGGGACGCAGAAGAGACATCATTTGACCATTACCTGTCATTTACATTTCAAATTCACATTCCACCACACCACAAAACAAACGGTGCGAGAAACGGCCCGTCATAAATACACCCGTTTATCATCTGTCTTTTAAAATAGTTTCAGTTCACTGAGGTCAACCAGACCAGGCCAGCCAACCACAAAAAGTTGGTGGCAGTCAGAGAAGCCCACACCACAACCCACCCACAGTAAATACATAATATTTACGTAACATATAACGTCCAGAGTGCGAGAATATTAACTTTCCAATGGAACCTATTAAAACACCCCGGGTTGCTCCTTTATAAATAAATGGCTTTGCAAATTACAAATTGCAAATGGGATATGAAACAAAAGGTTAAAACCACTTTTAGCACAGAGGTTTTCGCACACACAATGCAATGCAATTCTTGCGAGGAGATTGTTAAAGAATGAAATGACATGCTCACATAGATTAATGAGGTGTCCGCCTCTTTTAGCTCCTGTGGATTTGAGTAGAGATTATGCTTTCGCGTCCAGCAGCAACATTTTCATATGCAATCTATTTCGTACATACGTAGGCAATTAAAAAGTGACTTTGCTATTAAACCCATCTTTTTAATGGAATTTGAAATTATATTGAATAGTTAAAACTGTCATCGCTCATAATAAATGATGAAATGCTTCAAAGAAAGTGCTTGATTGAGAGTTCTATCTACGCCCTCTCAAATAACGACATATTTACATACATAAATTCTAAATATGCTTCTTCTCATCATCGCGAAAATTTAATACGATTAACAGTTTGCTTCTGTATCCTCGTCCAACCTGGCGCACCGAAATTAAGTAGAAAGGGAGACAAAAGGGGATGATGATGAAACTCACAACCTGTGACCTTTCTCATTTAGTTTAATCACGTATTCAAATTCGGCAGGGAATATTACTCCAAACTCAACGTTCCATATAATAATTCACACTTTGACATGAAACAGTTTGCTTGCACAAGTGATTGTTTCCTTGAGCGCTAAACGTGCGTAATAAGTTGGACCGTGAAAGCTTGTGTGTGTTGCTTGCTTGATGAAAATTTGTTTCCCCATCTGCACCAAAGTGGCATCAAATTGTATCTTTATGCCCGAAGGGTTACTGGGTTGGAGGAGAGATGAATGCGGAGAAATATAATTTCGGATCTGCAAAGTATGCGGGATGAGGAGAGAGAGAGAGGTGAACCGAAAATCCACAACTGGAGACCTTGTTTGGTTTATTTGGAGGAGAGAAATACTTCCACTTCGTAAATCCTCATAAAAGCATTGCCTCCCCTTCTTCCGAGGGAGAGAGACGCGATAATTCATACCAAACCAACTATTTCACATTTCCATTAATAAACCTATTTCCACCCGAGACACTCCTCGCTCCTTTCCTGGAAATTGGGGAATTTATCGCCGGGAAGGAAAGAGTTATTTATTTACCGTGAAATACACCTGCATTGCATTTGTAGTGTTGCAGATTTCTATCTATCCTGCCTTTTTGCACGTTTGTGCAACTTTTCGGTATTTACATACATACATTTACTCAGGCTTCCGTTACAGTAACTGTTTGCAAATAAAGTTATTACATACAATTATCATCGCCGGTTGGTTAATAATGAGCTCGACCCTGTATGAAATGGTACATGTATGTCTAAATGCATGCACGCCACCATTCTGTTCTCTGGATGATGGGACGACCAGGCTTTTAATTGAATTGGCATCAATTAAAATCATCTGCTGCTTCTGCCTTCCTTCATTCAGACATATGCACAATGTCACCCCTTTCGCTACTACTACGATCCGATAAATTACTGTGCATAGATATATACCAGGAGTGAATAATAATTAATAATTTCCTCACTTCAGCTTCATTACGGCACGCCATAGCAGCCCAGCAGCACTTGGCAAAAGGGCATTGTCGTCGTTGTTACCATTATTTCACTACTGACAACAATGAAAAGTTTCTTATTTTCCAGGCAGGCCATGATAAATGCCTGGCTCTTCTCGGAATGCATTTGTCTTTATGCCTGTGTGAATTGAAAAACAATGTTTTAAACAAACTTACACCAAACTTATGCACACGAATACACAAAAGAATTCGTAATCATTGAAACAATCTATGCAAGATTTATGACCAAAGCATTTGCCAAAAATTCCTGAACTGATTGCAATAACTTTTTTTTGTCCAAGAAGATGAACAGCAGTTAGAATTTTTAACGATGGATAGATAACCAACCAAGAAGATAAACAGCAAATGGTAAATGGGGTCCATTAAAATGCGAAAATTACTTTTGTCTCTGCACATAACACAATTCTGCAAACTATTCCTGCCCATGTTTTTACTTGCACATCAGTTAAGATTTATGATATGGAGCATGTGTTAAAACTTGTCAAAATGTAAATTATTGCAGGATACGAATGCATATATTGTTTTACATTTCGGGTCTCTACACAATACATGTTTTGAATTTAAAATTAAAACAAAAGAACAACTGTGACCGCACTAAAACAAATAAAATCAATAATTGATTTTTTGATGGTTACATAATTCATATTTTTTTGAATTTACAGGCGACGAAAGACAACAGATAAGTGATAAGCGACGAGCAAAAGCTGACCCGATAACTCATCGCTCTAAAGAAAGAAAGACAAGTCTAGGTAAGCAACCCAAGCTACTTATCAATTTCAAATTCATAACAAACACTCAACCTTCCAAAAAAATATTGCATGCATTTACATTGAAATCATTTTCTCATCTTTTATCATGTAAATGCTAATATTGACTAGACTACGTAAAAAATCAGACTTTAGTTCACATTGTTGTTCATTATGTGTACACACTGCATAGGAAAGTAGTAGTCTCTGCATTGTCTGCATCTTGACATTCTTGCTACCCAGCCCATCTATCATTTTGTAAACTGGGTGTAATTTATCTACGTAGTTACAAACTTCCTCTATCGAATTAAGCATTTCTGCACCTGATTACTATTCCGTACGTACAAGACCGTCTTATATTTTCGATTATTATACACAATATTTTGGCTAAATGCATAAAATAAATCGTCACTTTCATATTGCCACCAATGAATTTTTAATTTCGTTTTAATTATGAGAATTGTAATGCACAATGCACACGGTGGCATTTTCACGTCTTTTTTTTCTAAATAAAAGGAACCGTAAGCAATAACAAGAAGAAAAATAATTTATTTGCGCAATTTTCATGTATCGTTTTACAGGAGAGTCAGTCAGTCGAGTTGAGCAATACTTTATTATAGTCGCATTATTTACTTACCTTATGAACGATTTTCAACTTTCGCTAAAATTCGAAACAATGACAACTCGGCAAAAGAACAGCACACCCACAAAAACAAAGTCTACTCGCCCAATATGTCACTCACTTGCTGTTACATAAATGATTTGTTTGCGTCCATTCAATATTCCAATTTTCTTTAATTGGTCGCAAAACATTTATACCGTCAAATGTCAATTATTGGGTGTCAGTTTTTGAAATGTGCGGTGTGCATAAATATCTGTCTAAACATTGGCAGAGGGAAAGCTTCTATGTAGCTCATTCACTAATTCATAGGTAGTAGCAGCCACCGACGAGTAAAATATGGTCTTGTGGTCGTAATTGCACATGAGAAATGGGTGGAAAACTGATTTATCAAAATCAAAAAAGGTGCAATTGAATGAGTTGACATTTACACGGGGTATAAATCATGGCAGAAAGACCAGCTCAACAATAAAAATAACAATGAAATTGGAAAGATTTTGAGTTTTGGCCAAGTCAGTGCATCGCATTATGATCAAGTCCAAAAACTAAGGAAATGAGCGTATGTAGGTAACCTCACATTTTTTAATTTTGGGGCTTCTGCTACATGTAAAGGACGACACAGGTTATTTAAATACGTGGGCCTGCATGATTTACGTAAGAAATTCCAATATCTATAGGATTTTCGACATCAAATTAAAATTGTATAATGCTTACGCTATCCAAGAATAATTAAGGCAGGCAAAATTTAATCAATTCTTAAGTAATCAATAATTTCTGCAAACATATAAATTTATAAAGTTTAATCCACGCTTGTTTTACCCAACGTTTGCAACAATGTAGTAAATACTAAAACTATGCATTACCTCATTTCGGGTGCAGAAAACACGTCTCCATACACACAATCGAACGAGGTTCTTAAACTTGTCCAACCAATCCATTACGTGAGTAAGCTCCTCTCGCTCTATGTTTTCTAATAACATTAGTCAAATCCAAGCTACAGAGAAGCATATGAAATGCACAATAAAACATGCAGCCAAGAAAGTATGTACAGTGCAGCATATGAATTTGGAATTTAATTTCCCTTGAACTTGTCTACACAGCACATTTATTTGTATTTTATGCACATACAGAAATATGTACGTCGACTGTGTGTGTGTATCACTTAATTTTTTGTATCTTTGTGTTTAGCATTATCAAGTAATTTAGTGTGAAGATTCATGTAGTACTCTTGGGTGAATAAATGTAAGCAAGCACTACTCCTGCTTGCCATAATCCACTCTCAAATTCCAAGAGCAAATAGAATTTCTCATTTAATTTAAGAGGACAAGAGTAAAGATGTTGTAAAATCAAATTTAGTGTCAACTCTTAGGTCGTGAAATGGAACAGTTATCCTATATTACTACCTTCCTCTTCCTTCTCTAAAACTGAATAGCATGTTGTGCAAAATGTGCAAATCCTTTTATTTAAATCATATAATGTACGAAATTTCGTAGTTCCTCCTCCTCCTCCTCTAGTTCGTACAAGCTCAAAAGTGAAGTAGTTACAAAAGATTACTTTTAGTCCGTACTTGTACTTCTTCTTCCACGATGGGGATTACATCTCCTTGACTCGACTTGACTCAAGGTATTTCATCTTTATTTACATCTTAAATACGAGTTCGCAACTGTGTAGTAGTTACATGAGTCCTCATCTTCATGGGTAAATGCATTTAAATCTTTGCTCCCATTTCTCACAGAGTCATTTGAACTAGGAGTCGATGTACTTTGGAGCTTCGTCTTCCTTGTTGGGCAAGGGATTTTATTAAGTCTTCTCCAGAAACAGGGGCGGTGGAAGTTGGGTGGGGGACATATGGGGACCTTAGCATTGTTAGAGGGGCTTTTAACATAGGGGAAGATAGGATTTTTCTGAATTTCTGGGGGGACAATGTTCCCACTTCCGACGCCACTGTCCAGAACCAGAAGGAGACTTTACGTATATTGTGAAGGAAGTCATCCCGGTTGATACAAATCACTCACTTTCTCTCTCTCGAGTTCACCTTTTGTCTCAGTTTTATACCTAATTTATTTCATTTCCGTACTTTTGGTCGACTCTGGTAAACTAAAATGTCGATCTGCTATTCACCCGTGCATGCACATCATGCTGTTTCAATTAGGGACAATTTATAATCTACTTCGCTTCTGTCAGTCCATTTTGGGTATTTTAATTTGTGTCGGTCCCCTCCTCCCGTTTTTGAAAGGAGTAAACAACAAGGGTGGGACAGTTTCAGTAGTTCAGCCTCCATCAGCAAAATTAAGCCGAAAGAGAGAGAGAGATTTGCATGTGCAGGTTTAATTCCAGTTGGAGATTCCAACACAATAATTTATACAGTCAAAGTCCGAATCCAATCTGAACTTGTCCACCTTCATTAAGCAGTGGACGGACACACGGAAGGCCAGGATTGACTGAGTGAGTCCCAGTTGTCGCCCTGTTGGTTGGTGTGATTAACTTTCTCTCTCGGCCGGACTTGACATTGTGCAGGCTACATATTCCTGCTGGAGGCTAATGGAATGCCAAATCACTTAACTTTCCGCCACCGCTGTGTTATTGTACGACCAGTGGCCGCGGAAGCTTGAGGGGACAGAGGGGCAATGTCCCCACGTCTGACCATGTTATATAAGCCCCTCCCTCCCCTATCCTTCAATGTTAATGTCCCCACGGCTTCCGCGGCTATAGGAATAGGAGCAGAATTTATATATGTGGAAGAAAGTGTGCAGTATATCAAAAGACCATTTATACTAAAACTCGTATGGCATCTGGCTGGTGTATGAGTATGTGATGTAGTTGACCGTTGACTACCAAAATGCATTAGCATACTACAACATTTCATTAGCAATTACTTGACTTACGTTTCAGTTCAATTTCATTCACCTTCTTCTTCCCTTTGTCCTTGTTTAACCTTCTTCAGCACCACGTACATTTTCACATTGGGTGTATATGAGGTTGCCTTCCTTGTTTCCTTCAAGTTTTAGGAATTCTCCAGGCCCAGGAGAGCTTTAAAGCTTTCAGAGAATGTAATTTATTTCCTTTCAGATTTCAAAATTCAATGTACTCCTCTCTTCTCGGCCTCTCTCTCATGTTGTTGCTAAATTACTTCCTTTAACCGAGTTTAATTCACCTACTGACTAAATGAAGGCAGGAATATAAAGCTTATTAAAGAAGATCCTTGGGTGCGCAAATTAATTAAAAACTGGGAAGCAAACATTTTGCAATCTGCAAACTGAATCATAAAATGGCACACGCTTCTCTAAAAACCATCGCATTCATGACCCTAAAACTGAATTTCATTACGTGCCCGAATTTACCACTAAATCCGGTCCAAATTCGTCTCTATAATCCATAGAGTTTTATTAACAATAGCTAAAAAAATCCCTTCTCAATCTGCATCTACAACACCATAAAGAAAAAACCAAACCAAATCGCACACTGACTTGCCTCGAACTTTGCTGCCACATGGATTCATGAACGGATTACTTATGCATTGTTGTTATATTGTGATGGGCGCTGCCGCAAAAATTGTGTTTTGTTTTGTCGTTTACCTTTGACTCGAGTGCCCTGATCTGATTGTGTAGCATTTTGGCTAACTCTGTTCTAATCTAAATCTGCAGACGAGAAGAGAGAGAGGGAGACGATTTATAATGTATTGTATTTTACCACCACTACCACCACAAGTGACTGGCGAACAATCCAGGTCAGACTAGTCAGGTTTTCCTCCCGTGTTTTCAGTTCCGACTTATCATTCTTTATCAAAATAATAATTTCAGTCACAGCCAGTCACTCACTTCACTCCTCGATCTGCTCGACTTTTATTCATCCATTTACATTTACATATTAACGTTTGAGAGAGGAGTGAGTGACCACGCCAATGAAATGAAACGGACCAAGTACAAGTACTGCACGGTCAGACCAAATCAAACGCATGTAAAGCCTGACTTGGCAGATTTTTGCCAAAGATTGCACAAAGTGTAGATGTAATACCTACACAAAGTAGAACCTTCTGCCAGCCAACTCCCTCCTTGAATGAAATCAAGATGATATCACAAATCTCACCCTCATTTCTCATCATGTACAGTTTTGTTTGGTAATATCAGCAGATTTTTTTTATTATTTTCTGAACATTGTATAAGAAGAAGCTTCATTTTTTACAATATGGTGACAAAATATCTGCTCTTCTTGAATCGTACTTTTATCGCCCTCGTAATGATAATAATAACAAAAAAGTATGTTACAAAACATCATCACGTTCAGTTTTAGAGTGATTTGTAGCAATAATAATATACTTCTTCTCTCGTTAGAAAAGACATTACGTAATTTTTATCCCACCACTGAAAAAAATGATACAAAACAT